AGAAAGATAGAGGGTCACTGCTCGATTGAAATTATGCATTGTTCTTTTCTTCAAATAGTGATTCCTCCAACTCCGAAACGGAGCGAAAACGATCGTTTTTCGAAAAGACATCCGCAATTTTCATTTAGATCTAGATCTAGGCTAGCCTCGAAACTAGATCAATGATTTATGTCTGTCTGTCTAGATCTAGACCTAGGCTATAGATCTAGAAGAACCTAGGTCTTCCCTGGTCCAAAATCACAACAGAGTTCCCCTACCGGGTCTGTGTATACTTTGTGACTTTGTTCCCGGTTACCGGGTCTGTATACACTCCCTTTTTTTTTTTTATTGTTTAAGTGTTAAACTGTCCGTCCTCATTAGACTTCTTTAGAAAATCAGTGCTCAAACCGGAAAAGGGGTACAAACAAATTTTTAAAAAATTTTTTAATATGGAAGCAGGAAAGAGGGGTTGTCCGAATAATGACCAGCATTTGAAGCTACAGCGAGCACCTAGCACACTTCTGTGATTGACCCAAATATAGATGACGCATTTCCGCCATCTTTTTTTGTCGTCTTCCGAGGTTTCCCCGAGACTCTTGGGTTTCCCTCGCCAGTACAATTTGTGAAAATCTCAGCAATTCCCGTTCCTTTATTTACCTTCTCCTCAAAGTCAAAGTTGTTACAGTAGTCTCAACCTAAACGCACGGTGCTCGGGAGGGCTCCTTAGCGTGTGTTTATACGAAGCGTGCGTATAGATAACCTTTGAAAAGGGAGGAAGGGACGCAGTCATTTCATTGCCTTGATATTCTAGTGACCTCCCTTTGGGGTGGGGGTCACTTTGGCCGATAATGTGACAACACGTGATTGTTTTGTGAAGGATTCCCGGACTGCTATTAGGAACACAAAGGCGTAGAATGGGGGAGGGGGGGGGGAGAGAAAGACAGACTCAATATAATGATACGCACTATGAAACGTTGGGAACAGATAGCCTAAGAGGAAACTGTTGGAGATCGTCATTGAGACGACGGCTCAGCCACTTGGCTTTCCAAGCGACCACCCTGACCGTAAATTCATCAGAATCATAAATCTCTAAATTCAGAGAAACATTTCTATTGTGATTCATTGAACAAGTACGTTATAAGAATATAAGTTCTTCGAGCGCAGCTGATTAAGCTTACTTGGCTAATCTTAAATCCTGTAGAGGCCTGTCAGTGTTTTACGGCATTCACGCGTGTTGCACATCAGGCCTAGGTCTAACTAAACATTACATGCAGTCACCCAAACACCAGTCAGAAACCTTGTTCTCTCAAAGATGCATTCCCAGTGACCAATCAAAAAACAGTTCAGTCCCCCAACCCCCCCCACCCCCCCCAACATTTCACCGACCAGCCATAGACCGAGACCTAGACCTATGTGTGGCTGTGGAAAGTTGGGTGTGAAAACGCTGTCCATCACTCTCTTTGTTCGACGTGAGGGGCAGTCTCACCAAATAATGTATCCGGTTTTCTAGGCTTGTCTTATATGCAAGCTGTGCAGGTTGTAGTGGAAATTCCCCATTGTCAAGCTTTACCTGTCGGCGTGTTTTGCGGATCGGAGCGTGCGTTTGTACGTCTAAATTTTATAGTAAAAAACCCATCAGATGACTAAAGCGTGCGTTTAAGTGGAGCGTGCTTTTGTATGGCGTGCGTTTAGGCGGTGACTACTGTACACACACACAAGCCCATGCACGAGCACGCACATATATATACTATACTGACATACAGCCCAACTCCAAGCAGTCGGCGATAAGACCTATTGACGTAGTCCATCGCATGCTAATACCGGGAGCCCATTACGGTGACATCTACTCAACTGGCGAGGGAAGCATGAAGGAAGCCCCGGACGACGACAAAAATAGATGGCAGAACTACGTCATCAATATTTGGGCCAACCACAGAGGTGTGCTAGGTGCTTGCTATAGCTTCATGTCCAGATTTATTAGCACTTCGGGGTCCGAATAATGACACCGTTTACAAAATTATAATCACCAGCTCTTCGTACAAAATAAGGCGCACAGAAGTCAAAATAATATAAAACTCTAGTCGGAGTACATGCAACTAAACGTAGAACGACGCAAACTATTTTTAGGTAAGGCGGGCCATCTTGTGTGACATCAGACCCAGATACCCCTCCGATCACAAGACAACACGATCTAAACATGCACAGCCAACCGCATGGCACCAAAGTACCATAGCATG